CCCACCCAGCCACCCTCCCACCCCACCCTCCCACCCCTCCCCCCCTCCCCACCCCACCCCACCCCACCCCCACCCAGCCACTCCCCACTCTCCCCTCCCCACACCCACCCTCCCCACCCAGCCACTCCCCACCCCACCCTCCACCACCCAGCCCCTCCCCACCCAGCCACTCCCCACTCTCCCCTCCCCACCCAGCCCCTCCCCACCCCAGCCCCTCCCCACCCAGCCACTCCCCACTCCCCTCCCCCCCAGCCCCACCCCCACCCAGCCACTCCCCACCCCACCCTCCCCACCCAGCCCCTCCCTGCACGACGGACGGACGGACACAATAATCCCCTGTGGGCTGGTGGAACTAGTGGGTTGCTACCAGTATAAAGTTGTACAAAATCTTGCCTCGCACACCGGATTGTAAGACGCACCCCAATACAATTATACGAAAGTGACACTCGGCGCCTGGCGGGTGTGTGGAGATGGAACGAAGTCGCGCGATGAACGGCTTGAGGCTTGAGCAGAGGTCGCAACCGGGTACCCGATACCCGTACCCTACCCGATACCCGGCTACCCGTACCCTACCCGATACCCGTACCCTATCCGATACCCGTACCCTACCCGATACCCGGCTACCCGTACCCTACACGATACCCGTACCCTACCCGATACCCGTACCCTATCCGATACCCGGCTACCCGTATCCGGCCGGGTACGGGTAGCCGTTTGCGACCCTGGTGCGGCCGGTGTACGGGTACAGGTATGCCGTGAGTCACTGGTGAGTCACCGTTTGTCACTCATTTCGGGTAGGGTACGGGTAGGGAACGGTTACCCGTACCCGGCCGGGTATTTGCGACCCTGGTGCGGCCGGGTACGGGTCCGGGTAAAGAATCAAAACCCGTTGGCGACTTTTGGGCTTGAGGGATGTAGAAACCAACTCATACTCTGGTGGTGGCATGGGTTGTGGGAGAGATGCAAGTGCGGAGTTGGCCTGATAGCTTGAAGCTAAATTGTCTTGTGGTTTCGATTTAAAGCTTTCGTGACTGCAGGGATTCATATTCTTGGTTCTTTCGGTAAAGTCACGTAGAAACGAAATAATAAAAATAAAACTATAAATTATCACGTTTTTCGACTGCAACACAAGCAATCATCATCAGGTGTGAAAACCACAGCAATAAAAAAAGTGGCGTTTTTTAAAATTTTCTTGCTGTGGTTTTCACACTGGTGATATATAGCAAAGCGTCCCTTATGGACTATTAAGTTAATACATTTTGTTATTTTTTTTATAAAAAAAAAAAGATTGGAATCTTTAAATTGAGCGTTTTCCGATGGGTTCGTCTTTAAATGTAAGAAGAAGTTGAATTAAATCGTCAACGATTATTGTGGTGGTTTTTTTTTTGCGGAAAAAAACTAAATGTAGCGATGGTTGTTAAGTTGCCCTCAACGTAGATACAAATTGTAACAAAAAAAAATCACATCAGGTTAATTATTATATTCTTGAAAACGTTTGCCTGGCGAAGACAGCCCTTTATGAACTAGTGTTACTATATGTGTTTTCCCTTTTTAATGCAACAACGAAGCTAATTGGGGAATGTGTAAATCTGATCTTAAAGGTGCATTGAGAAATGTTGATACTCCGACTGATGCTCCTGCTGTTGTGGAGTGACTCATGCAGACAGCTATGGCTGCAGAGTTTGGTGGTACATGTTGTTGACGTTGTTTATGTGAACATTCGGTCACAGTTTCTATGACCACTGTTTCATTGCTTTTATGGCTTTATTTGGTGATTTTCGAAAAGTTTTTCTTTTGGCCATGTGTGTTGTTGTAGTACAGAGTTAGACTGATGGCCTTAATCTAAGTTGTCTTGTGGTTGTTGTTTGACTTGCATCCCACTGGGATTGTTGCACACAGCGTTGGTGTGTGCGGCGATTTTTCTGCAATATTTTGCTGTCTTTTCTTGGATTTTCTGTTTGCACTTAGTCACATATTCACTTGAAGATGTTTTTTTGTTCATGTTTTAGTTTTTTGTTTGTTGCGGTTGCACCCGATTCAAGAGCCGAATGGCTCACAGGGCCACACCTAATACATGAACTTGAACTTATTTATTAACATTTAAAATCGAGCACTTTGATCTGCATCAGCCACCGTAGTAGCCACGCGCGTGAGTTATAAATAGAACAGCGGGGTGAATCGATTCCATAGTTCAACATCCAAATCGATTTTCAATGTTAAACACGCGAATCGAAATGTAGGTGATTCTATTGTTTCCATTAATCGATTCCCGTCTTGGCGACACGCGTTCGCTGTGGGTCCTGCGGAACTCGCTCCACCGTAGATTCCACGCCCTCGTCATCGGGCCATGGTCAACCCACTGCTGGATGAAGTCGTCCTCACCACTCACCCCTCACGTATATAATCCACATCCACCGCGAATCGATTCAGGAATCGGGCGCGCGGCCACGGAGGAATCTAAACCAATGCACATCCATCCACGCCTGCTTAAGTGTTATTCTTTAAGCAACTTTTTAGTTCGATTTGTGATCGTCTCGTAGCAGCAGCTTTAGCTCAACGTTCGCCCGTCGTTAGAGCTGCTATGAATTCTACGGACAATCATCGGCGCGGAGTCGCTGTTGCCACCGGTAAAGTCTAACGCTATAATCCGGTGTGTGCGTCTTATAATCCGGTTTGTGAAGGTGCGTCTTATAATCCGGTGTGTGTGAAGGTGCGTCTTATAATTCGGTTGTGTCTGAAAGTGCGTCTTATAATCCGGTGTGTGAAGGTGCGTCTTGTAATCCGGTGTGCGTGAGGTGCGTCTTATAATCCGGTGTGTGAAGTGCGTCTTATAATCCGCTGTGTGAAGGTGCGTCTTATAATCCGGTGTGTGTGAAGGTGGGTCTTATAATCCGGTGTGTCTGAAGTGCGTCTTATAATCCGGTGTGCGTAAGGTGCGTCTTATAATCCGGTGTGCGTGAGGTGCGTCTTATAATCCGGTGTGTGTGAGGATGCGTCTTATAATCCGGTGTGTGTGAGGATGCGTCTTATAATCCGGTGTGTGTGAAGGTGCGTCTTATAATCCGGTGTGTCTGAAAGTGCGTCTTATAATCCGGTGTGTGAAGGTGCGTCTTATAATCCGGTGTGCGTGAAGGTGCGTCTTATAATCCGGTGTGTGTGAGGATGCGTCTTATAATCCGGTGTGTGTGAGGATGCGTCTTATAATCCGGTGTGTGTGAGGATGCGTCTTATAATCCGGTGTGTGTGAGGTGCGTCTTATAATCCGGTGTGTGTGTGCAACTTTACCGACACGGCACAAATATGACGCGCTTGGCACGCTGCACGCGCCTGATGATTGGTGAACACGTCCCCTCATCATCACGGTGGCTAGGAGATGTTGACTACCTCGCATGGTACACAGGAGGTCGTGGGTTCAATCTTGGCTCTGACAAACTGCTGCTGCTGTATATTTGGAGTCTGCGTGTCTCTCACTCTCATCATCACGGTGGCGAGGAGATGTTGACTACCTCGCCTGGTATACAGGAGGTCCTGGGTTCAACCCTGGCTCTGACAACTGCTGCTGCTGTATATTTGGAGTCTGCGTGTCTCTCTGCCCGTGATTTTTCTCCGGGTCCTCCGGTTTTTCCCCCTCCACTTTTAGAATCAACGTCACGCTTTTAGAGCATTTAGCGTCGACGCATTTTCCACATGACGATAAGCCGCCACTTAGTTGAGCAATCAGACGTGGCCAGGCTGCTTCCGAACAAGAGCTCCATATAGCTCAGCGGGCGCTTAACCGGTAAAATGAAGAAATAAAGAAGTTTATGATCTTAAAATGGAAAAGTAAAAATAGGCGACGTTTCGCCAATAGCTCGAGAGGGTCAGAGAGATGGAGTGGAGAGATCTAATTCTAGATTTGAAGCTTTCGTGACTGCAAGGATTCATATTCTTAGGTTTTTTCCAGTAAAGTCACGTAGGTGAAAAATTTAAATACAGCTATCGTGCTGTGACGGTTCCACCAGAAAGTCAAAGCTTGTGTTGCCTCCGAAACGTCGTGATTTTTATTTACTTTTATTAATTTTTATTTTTTTACCTACGTGACTTTACCGAAAAAACCTAAGAATATGGAGAGATCTAATTGAGTTGTGTCGCCTGTACGTTTTTGAACTCTCACCCACCGTCAACCCTCCTCCGGTCGCCAGCATTGGGGACCTCCAAGTGGGACATCCGCCAGACGGTGTGGGACTACCATGGAGCTTCACGACCTGGCGAACTTCCCCAGGCCCGTGCACCACAGAATTCCAAACTTCAAGGTGCGTCATGGGACCTCCTCTGCCAGTACCAAAATATGAGAATAGGTTTTCCCCTTTTTTCTGGCAACAAAACAGCTAGATTTGAAGCTTTCGTGACTGCAAGGATTCATATTATTAGTTTTTTTTCGGTAAAGTCACGTTGGTAAAAAAAAATAATAAACATAAAATAAAATCACGACGTTTCGGAGGCAACACAAGCTTCCTTCTTCAGGTGGAACCGTCACAGCACGATATCTGTATCAAGTGTGATAGCTGTATCAAGTGTGATACAGCTATCGTGCTGTGACGGTTCCACCTGAAGACGGAAGCTTGTGTTGCCTCCGAAACGTCGTGATTTTTATTTTATTTTTATTTACTTTTCTTATTTTAATTTTTTTTACCTACGTAACTTTACCGAAAAAACCCTAAGAATAACAAAACAGCTGTGTTAAGATGTTAAACACCAAACTGAAACATTTACAAGGAATCATGTCTGCGTTAACCACAATACTTGTGGTCAGAATGCAAACAAAAAACGCACTATGATAATATTTGCATTGTCTTTGAAACGGATTGGTCCACACCAGAGACAGCTTTCTTTTGAGCCTCGTCTCAAACGGTGTTAGACCAGAGGACACTGCCCATAGACTAACACTGCCCATAGACTCAACGCTACCCATAGACTCACACTACCCATAGACTCAACACTGCCCTAGATTCAACACTACCCATAGACTCAACACTGTCCATAGACTCAACACTGCACCATAGACTCAATACTGCCCATAGACTCACACTACCCATAGACTCAACACTACCCATAGACTCAACCTGCCCATAGACTCACACTACCCATAGACTCAACACTACCCATAGACTCAACACTACCCATACATACGTAATGTTTCACTCTAAAGTTGATAACCGGCTGTTGTTTTGCTGCCTTGCCCAAGCTTGGGAATTGGTGTACTTATAAACATTTGAACTTTCTACTTTATCAATTCTACGTATTTATTTATAGTGATTGCTTAACTTTCATAAACTATTATTTTTCGTGCCCCTTACTGGACTTCCGTCAACAAAGAGCTTCATGGCTCATCGGATTCCTCCAGGATAAATAAACATTCCGATCGCATTCGCGACACCTCCGTGGACACGCCACGTGATGTCTCTGGCCGATGTCTCCCCGGCTCTAACGAGCCAACGACGGCGGCCGCACCGCCCGCTGGTGACCTCTCGTGCCAGGGGTCGACCGGCGCCTCGGCGCGTCTCGGCCTCCTCCCGCAGTTTTCCACGGCGACCACCGTGAAGGTGAACCCGGACAAGCCGCAGGAGGGCGCGCGCTACCTCGCCCTGGAAGTGAGTGCGAAGAACGTCTCGCGTCTCTGTCGTCCCCACCAACCCCACTAACTACCCACCAACCCCACCGCCCACCTCGCCCACCGCCCCCCCACTATCCCTCTCACGGCGCAGGGTTCGTATCGCGCCGCGGGGAGGATCGGAGACCTCGCAGCTTTCGCAGCGACCAGCGCCGTTAAGGTGGACCCCGATAAGCCGCTAGAGGGCGTCCGACTCGCCGCCCTGGAGGTAACGCAGCGACCCACACTGGGGGTGGACAACTCGGTGTAGAGGGGGCGCCGCGGTGGCTAGGAGATGTTGACTACCTCGCCTGGTGTGCAGGAGGTCGTGGGTTCGATCCCGACCCTGACGCCTGCTGCTGTATATTTGGAGTCTGCGTGTTTCTCTAATCATCATCATCACGGTGGCTAGGAGATGTTGACTACCTCGCCTGGTATGCAGGAGCTTGTGGGTTCGATCCCGACCCTGACGCCTGCTGCTGCTGTGTATTTTGAGTTTGCGTGTTCTCCGGGTCCTCCGGGTTTTCCCTCCACATTTATAAAACACGCGTTTAGAGTATTTGGCTGCTATAAATGTCCACATGATGATGAGCCACTTCGTTGAGCTGTCATTTGCGGCCAGGTCACTTCTGAAAAAGAGATACGGAGCTCAGTTGGCCTCACCTTGTAAAATAAAATAAATAAATAACAAATTAAACTCGATACTCGTTCTGCCTTCTTCCCTCCGCCTCTCCCCAGGCACGGAAGACCCTGCTGGTTCCCACGCCGAGACTCCGATCCGGGCTGTTCAACCGGATCGTTCCGCCCGCCGGTGCCTCCAAGGCCGACCTGCACCGGTGTGCCACCTCGCAGGCACGGAGCCGGCGCTTGCACACTGACCAACCAGGCAACAGCAGGCAGCAGCAGGCAACAGCAGCAGGCAGCAGCAGCAGGCAGCAGCAGGCAACAGCAGCAGGCAGCAGGCAGCAGGCAACAGCAGGCAGCAGCAGGCAACAGCAGGCAACAGCAGCAGCAGGCAGCAGTAGCAGACAGCAGCAGCAGGCAGCAGCAGCAGGCAACAGCAGCAGCAGGCAGCAGCAGCAGCAGGCAGCAGCATGATTTAAAAGTGCATAGCTCAGGTGGCGTCCTTAATATCGGATGGAAGAGCGCCTTCCAGACGGCCGCAGAAGCGCACCTGAAAGCGCCGCGCGACGATGCGGCGACCACCGTCTTTGTTCGACGGCTGAGCCCAAAGCCGCCGCCGCTGCTGCTGGGAAAAGATGACGACCGGAGTTTGTGTTGCGGTGGTTTGCACGAGTACGCCCCTCCTCTCCTTCCACGGTGCCCTGACCCTGACCCTTTGCCCCCCGCTCCCGCCTGCGACCTGCGACCCCTGGCAGGGCGTGCGCGAGTTCAGCGTGCCGCTCGCGCTGGACGCCGGCGTGCGCGTCGACCTCGTGGTGGTCGGCTCCGTCGCCGTGTCCGAGAGAGGTAAGAGCCGGGCTCGTACCAGAGGTCGTAACTGGGTACCCGATACCCGTACCCTACCCGATACCCGGCTACCCGTACCCTTCTGGGTACGGGTACCCGTTTGCGACCCTGGTGCGGCCGGGTACGGGTACGGGTAGGCCATGAGTCACGGGTAGGGTACGGGTACGGGTAGGGAACGAGTACCCGTACCCGGCTGGGTACGGGTACCCTTTTGCGACCCTGGTGTGGCCGGGTACGGGTACGGGTAAGGAATCAAACCCCGTTTGCGACCTCTGGCTCGTACCTCGCACGCCCCGCAGGCAGCAGCGGACTGCGTCTCGATCCGCTGCTGGGTGGGAGCGGCTCGCAGGGAGTTTTGTACGTTTTTCACAATTGGTTCGTATCCTGGTTTGGCAGTCGATTCGGACCAACTTCTCTCCGGCGTCGATAAAAATGAGCGCCACTTAGTAGGGAAGTCAGCGGTGGTTGTCACGATTCCGGGGTCACGGCTGGTCAGTCCGAGGACCGATTGCCCTTGACGTATTCTGCAGACTTTTTGCGTTTAGTTCCTAGAGTCACACAGCTGTACGGGGTCGTCTTCCACCGGCAGCCGATTGGCCGCCGTCAGAGTGATGACGTCGCCCCTAGCAACCGTAGGCCTCGTGGTCTCCTTCTGTTCGTGGCCCCCCACCCCCAAGTACAGAAGTTCCCCGTAAAATGCGGAAAGCTGTGATTGTAGCAAGATCCGAAATGACGCGAGAGAGAGAGAACGGAGAGGATGTCAAGGGTGTCCTCCTGGGTCGTCGGCAAACACAGCGGTTGCTAGGGGCGACGTCATCACTCCTACGGGCGGCCAATCGGCTGCCAGGGAGACGACCCCATACGGCTGCGTGAATCTAGAATCGACTGCGAACTCCACCGAGTCTGTAGAGTACGCGAAGGGCAATCGGTTCCGGTCTGCCGCGTGTGCCCGCAGGATGGCGCATCGGGAAGGGCGAGGGCTTTGCGGACATGGAGTTCGCCATGATGGCGTGCACAGGCGCTGTGGATGACGCCACGGTGGTGGTGACCTGCGTTCACGACTGCCAGGTCCTACACGCGCACACGCACACACGCACGCGTGAACGCACACGTATACATCTTGGGAAGCCACAGGAGCTGTGCACTTTTAAATCTAAATTTGAGAACTCGTTTCTTTAGAACCGATTTTTGTGTTTAGTGTTTGTTGTTCCTTTCCCCCGCACATCCGATTGGCACGGTTGGCTACGTACGGTGCGAAAGAAGTTAAATATACAGACTGCACACAGACTAACACTGTCCATAGACTCAACACTGCACCTCCCATCAGAAAGATTGGCTACGTACGGTGCGAAAGCAGTTCAACATATACACAACAAGATCCCTCAATTAGTAGTCAAAACAGATATTTCGGGGCCAGTTCTGTTTGCGATCAGCAATGAAGGCCGGCACGGCACACGAGGCAAACTCCAGCTCTGGGAGTGAAAGTCTGTTGAGCATTCGTGCGGTGAATGTTACTCTGCAGCAGGGCGGGTAGGGAAGTGCATCTCCTCTAGCAGTGGAACTTGAAACAACCTCAGAAGCGTAGGTCGCAGACGGGTTTTGATTCCTTACCCGTACCCGTACCCTACCCGTTACCCGGACGGGTAGGGTACGGGTATCGGGTACCTGATTGCGACCTCTGGGATGAAGCCATGTTGCAGGCGCGGGCGGGTTGATTCTAGGAACTTGAATTGTGAGAAGAGACAAGACGTTGGGAAATAAGTGACAAACAGTTACTCGCCAGTGACTCACGGCCTACCCGTAACCGTACCCGGCCGCACCAGGGTCGCAAACGGGTACCCATACCCGTACCCGGCCGGGTACGGGTAGCTGGGTATCGGGTAGGGTACGGGTATCGGGTACCCGGTTGTGACCTCTGCTCAGAAGTAGCTCCGCAGACCATCCTCGGTCACACGTAAGGGCCGCAGCAGAATTCCATCTCGTGGCGTGACGCACGATCGGAATAATCCCGGGGGTGGCGGGGACTGGGTAACATTTCCATCGCCGTCGGTGACGCAGGTGGTGGACATCCCGGAGGAGCTGGTGGAAACTCATGACCTGACGGTTGACTACATCCTCACCCCGACGCGCGTCATCAAAACCAACTGCAGCGCGCCCAAGCCTCGTGCAATCATCTGGTCCAAGGTCAGCCGACAACTTCTTTCTATTTGTGTCGATGTGGTTTAAGGGTGGCGAGATGTTAACTATCTCGCCTGGTACGCGGGAGGTCGTGGGTTCCATCCCGACCTTGACGCCTGTTGCTGTATATTTGGAGCCTGCGCCTCTCTCTCATCACCATCACGGTGGCGAGGAGATGTTGACTACCTCGCCTGGTATACAGGCGACCACGGGGAGACAGAGAGAGAGACGCACACTCCAAATATACAGCAGCAGGCGTCAGAGTCGAGATCGAACGCACGACCCCCTGCGTACCAAACGAGGTAGTGAATGTCCCGCCACCGTGGCTTGTGTCGATCCTCTCAATGTTGCGAAGATCGACCGCGAGCTTCTGGCCCGGATCCCCATCCTGAACACTCTGCGGGCCCGGGAAGAGAGGCTGGGCCGGGACGTGTCGCTGAGGGACGCTCCCAGCCTTCACCGCACCGCAGCCTCTGCCGGATCTCCGGACGATCCTTCCGCTTCTCTCCACCGAGAAACCGTCGGCGTCGGCTCTGCCGGGACAGCGGCAGCGACCCGCGTGCGCCGGGCCGGTTCCGTTTCGGCAAGGGGGCGGCGTGGGGACGGGAGACACCACCGGGGAAGAGGAGGAGGATGGGCGAGGCAGCCGATTGGTGGAGGAGGAAGTGGTTGCGCCGTGCCGGATCTGGCGAGGGGCCGGGGTGGTGGTGGGGGCGACGGAATGTAACCTTCCGGTAACCTCGGGGCTTTAATTTCTCACCCACAATGTTCGGCGTCGCTGGTAGACTAGAGTCGGTGTTGCCGTGACTCGTCGTGCTGCAGCCCACCGCGGGAGGTGTATACTTGACGTGGTGTTCCGGGCGTGGAAATGACCCGGCCAGATCCGGCTGAAGCGAAGCCCTGATGAACCGGATCCTGAAAGCAGCGATCAGCAACGAGTGGATGATGATGACGATGGTGGGGGGGGGGGGGGGGTGTTTTCACCATTTGTGAATTGTCGGGGCGGGAGCCGCACGTCAGGGGCCGCACTAAAGGCCACCAGGAGCTGCCGCCAGTGGCCCGCGGGCCTTGTGCCTCGTGGTCTCACGATGCATCCCACCCCTGCACACTCAACCGATGTCATTGTCTACAACATCACGCACGCACGTGTGCTTACATACACACTGCACTTGTAAAGCATTCTGGGTAATAAAATATGGCTAACGTCAGTGGCGAGTTGATGTCTGATCTGGTCCTCCTTATAACGTATGCTACAGGCCCCGCACCGGCACTGCCTGGATGACTGTGGAGGCCTTTGGCAATCTCTTGACAAGGGACGATATATTATTAATATTCAGATAATAACACTGCTGCGTACAGCACGTGAAGTGTGTTCAAAGCCGGTCTGTGCGTGGTTCCCTTCGTACAGAAATAAAACTTTGGTTTCCGATTTTTATTGCCAAATTATCCTTTTCGTTGTTGTCGATGTTGTCGATGTTGTTGTCGTCGATGTTGTCAACACGTCCCCATGTCCGGCGCAACTCGTGGGGCAAATCGCCAAGCCGACCATCCGTGTTTTAGGCCCCTTTAGTGAAAATGCGAAGTGTGGCTCTTCCTGAACCCTCACCCGGTCCGAGACGTCTGCAAGTGGCGGGCGGGTGCTGTGTCCCCGTTCATCGCCGGAGCGTGCGAGCGACTCGGCGTAAATTTTATTTAGAGAGGCGCAGTAAACGCCACCGTCGTTTTTAACGGCGTCGTTACTCACCGCAGAGAACTGTCGCGACACGACCGCCTCCACTCTCCCAGAGCTGGGGCCAAACTGTGGCACGTGCAGCCCTCCCGGGTGGCCTTGTGGGAGCCTCGCTACCGATACAGTTATTTTATCTTTCGATTTAAAGCTTTCGTGACTGCAGGGATTTATCTTCTTGGTTCTTTCGGTAAAGTCACGTAGAAGGAAAATAATAAAATAATAAAAATAAAACATAATAAAATTATTCTCACGATGACGGCTGCTTGCGTTGTTTTATTATTTTCCTTCTACGTTATTTTATCTTCTTGGTTCTTTCGGTAAAGTCACGTAGAAGGGAAATAATAAAATAATGAGAATTATTTTGTTATGTTTTATTTTTATTATTTTATTATTTCCCTTCTACGTGACTTTACCGAAAGAACCAAGAAGATGAATCCCTGCAGTCACGAAAGCTTTAAATCGAAATTTAAAGTTATTTTATTTACGTGTACGTCATCGGAATGGAACCAGAAGAAAAACTGATGGACGCGTACGTCATGGGAACGTAGCCAACCTTACTGATTGGAGGTTCGGGGGAAGGACAAACTAAAGGCAAAAAAGCAGTTCTGAATAAATGAGTTGATCAAATGGTGCCCACCGGTAAGTGTGAGAGATTGTGGCAGGGCATTGAGAAGTGGTGCAGTCGGATCTGCTGTGGTGGTACAGGTCAGTTCAGGGAGTCTGAGCGAAGTGGGCAAATACCGATTTTGTTTCGTGCTGGGCGAAGGGCTTCCATTTTCTTCTATTCCTTAAGTATTCTCCAGTAGGGTGCCGTAGTGGCGAGATGTTAACGACCTCGCCTGGTATGCAGGAGGTCGTGGGTTCAATCCCGGGTCTGACGCCAGCTGCTGTGTATTGGGAGTTTGCGTGTCTCTCTCCCTGTGGTCACGTGGATTTTTCTCAGGGTCCTCCGGTTTTTCCCTCCACATTTACAAACATGCATGTGCAGTATTTGGCTGCTATACTTTTGCACACGATAAGCCACTTCACTGGACGATCATTTGTGGTAGACAGGTCGCTTCTAAAAAAAAGCTTTTTAGCTCATATTCTTAGGTTTTTTTTCGGTAAAGTCACGTAGGTAAAACATTAAAATTAGTAAAATAAAATAAAAATCACGACGTTTTTAGCTCAGTTGGGGAGGGCCTTACCTGTTAAAATAAATAACACCAAACGTATAAAAAGTTAACGTTGGACTCGAATTGTAAACGTGAGTTTATTCTCCAACACGCCGGTGTGCTGAATTAGTAACGATTTGGCATGTTCCGTTTCCGTGACACAATTTATGCGATCTAAGCTCAAAATAAACCCTCATGTATCAGAAAAAAAAATCCTTCCCATACCGGGAATTGAACCCGGGCCGCCTGGGTGAAAACCAGGAATCCTAACCACTAGACCATATGGGAGCCCTGCTCACGAAAGCGTCGCGTTTCATACTTAATGTCACAACCGGCTGAGCCGGCGGCTTAATTTGTTTATTCACGACATGCTCTTAGCATTAAGAGACGCCTGCAAAGCTGATAGCCTACGGATTTCCCATATGGTCTAGTGGTTAGGATTCCTGGTTTTCACCCAGGCGGCCCGGGTTCAATTCCCGGTATGGGAATGATTATTTTTACTCGGTAATTTTGTTTAAACATTTTTTTTTTAAACCAATGGATTCTACTGCGCCACGTGTGTTAAGGGGAAATGTGTGGCATACGCCAGCCAACGTGTTACAGTTGTTCAGTGTGTACAGTCCATGTAACGATCATCATCTTGAACCGGAATATATTGATTTTGTGACGTTATTATCCCGTGGCCCGACTGGAAATCTGTGCGAAAGAGCTTTAGAGATTATCGGATTCCTCCTGCAGTATCAATACAAATTCTAGCCCCTTTTTTTCTTCTTGGTTCTTTCGGTAAAGTCACGTAGAAGGGAAGTAATAAAATAATAAAAATAAAACATAAAAAATAATGATTTTATTATAAAAGAATTTTTTTATTTTAATAAAATAATAAATATAAAACATAATGAAATAAATATTTTATTATGCTTTATTTTTATTATTTAAATAAAATAAATATTTTATTATGTTTTATTTTTATTATTTTAATAAAATAAATATTTTATTATGCTTTATTTTATTATTTTATTAAAATAAATATTTTATTATGTTTTATTTTTATTATTTTATTACTTCCCTTCCACGTGACTTTACCGAAAGAACCAAGAAGATGAATCCCTGCAGTCACGAAAGCTTTAAATCGAAATCTAGCCCCTGTTGTCAAACCCACTGCTGGATGGAGGCCTCCCCAAGCTCTGCAGGGTCATGGGGGTTGCTAGACCATGCTTCACCACGCTGGTCAGTGCGGATTAGTGAATGGGGGAAGGACACGGGGGGGGGGGGGGGGGTTATACATTTAAAACTAATTTCTTGAGAACCGATTTTTGTGTTCAGTTTTTTGCCATTCCCCCGCTCCTCCGATTGGCTTCGTACGGTGCTAAAGAAGTTCAACATCGTACGCCGAGTTGTCAACTGCTCATCAGTGCCCTTACCTTGTTACACACCAACTATACACTACACTACTATACACTACACACTATACTACTATACACTACTATACACTACACTACTATACACGACACTACTATACACTACACACTACACTCCTATAGACTATATATACACTATACACTACACTACTATACACTACACACTACACTACTATACTACTATACACTACTATACACTACACTATACACTACTACATAGCTGTGTAACCCCTTATCAGTGCCCTACCTTGTTACACACCAACTCAGACCTTATCGGTCACCCCGTGCCCCTTATACATCTCAACGTGCAGCGTTGTCACTTTAAGATGTTTTCTTGTTCATGTTTTTGTTTGTTGCGGTTGCACCCGAGTCAAGAGCCGAATGGCTCACAGGGCTACACCTAATACATGAAAACTGAAACTTTCGGCGCTTCGCTCTTTCGGCCGTTCTCAACCCCAACCACATTTCAAATTTCGTCCACGCGGCTCTTACTCTTTCGTCCGATTTCATCCCCAAACCTTCCACGACGTTCGCGCCACGCGGCGTCTTATTCGTTCAGTCTTTGAACAGAAGTCATTCAGTGAGCAGCATCTCTTATATTTGTGTTTATTCAGATGTTATTCATACTGTATCTATCACCAATATATTCATCGTCCACTTACACAAAAAAATATTTAAAGGTATAATTGTTTATTTTTTTTATTTTTGTTTATAAATTTGTATTCTTGTTTATTTTTCTTTTATGTTTATTTAGGTTTCGCACGCATGTGTTATTTAGCTACTGTAGTTATTTGCATGTACGTTTTTATATTTACTGTAAATATTTGCATGCAAGTTTGTATATTTACTGTAGTTATTTGCAATGCACGTTTTTCGCCGGCCAAAACAAACTTGCGAGCTCAATCAAAGGCTCCGCTTTGACAATTCGTCCATGCTCTGGTCCCGAACCCGACGAGAGTGCGAGAGGTGTTCCTGTAAATACTTCTCGGCAGGCCGCCTCCGACTGCCTTGAATCACTGCAGCAGTGGCGGCTCCTGCAAAATCTCTCAGGGGGGGCAAATGTCTGGATGATTGATAAGGATAAGGTCCACCCATGCAATGGATAAATTAACAGCTTAAGCATGTAAAGGCAACTTCACTTCTTTAATATTAATGAAAAATAAAGTGACTCTTACAATACATCTTGTTTGTTTCTATACTCACTATTATTACAATCCACTCAGTTTATTTTATTAAAGATTACACTAGGTGGCGACAAATAATATTGTTGACTGAAACGTGCTTACGTATGATGACGTAAGCACGTTAGTGCGAGCCCTCCCGGAAGCCATAGAGAATGCATTGGAGCACCCGCCGTTCGAAAAAAAAACATCTTTGAATGTAAGTCTATGGGAACACTCGGGGTGATTCTCAGCCAGAGTGAAATCGCCCAAAAAGAGGCGGTACTCCACAGAACGTGACATGACGCTGATTGGACTATATCCAGAGGCACAGTGACGGCTAGCGTAACTCTGTGGTTGAATGACATTGGTGGTGCGTCGCCCAATCGCCCTAATGAAGAAACCGCCCTTGCACTGGAGCCTCAATCCCACTTCAGGGCTCGTTCCGCTGTGCGTGGCCAAGTAAACCGTTGCGTTACGTCACAATGCCCGTGAATGCGTAGATAGTATGTACACACGTTACGTCACAGTGCACGCGAACACACACGTACACACGTTACGTCACAATGCACGTGAACACACGTACACACGTTACGTCACAATGCACGTGAACACACACGTACACACATTACGTCACGAAGCGTCAGTCCGCAAAGCGACGCACGCGGCCCCTGAGACGTGCATTTGGCGACCCCCTGCGCCAGCCCGAGGCTCGGGATAAGGGACGCGAGGGAGACGTTGAGAAGCTTGCACGGACGCTCGCGGTCGAGTGTGGAGCGGGGGACGACTTTTACCGGACACCGGGTGACGAGGATCACGATGGTGACATGACGAGGGCAGACAGGAGACGGGCCGGCGGACAGGAGAAGGGCCGGTCTTCTCCTGTCCGCCACCCGGTGTCCGGTAAAAGTCGTCCCCTGATCCACACGCTCGAACGCGTTGTCCGGTCGCTGTCCCCGGGCAACAGCTGAACTTGAGAATGAGAAGCATTTCAATTTAAAGCTTTCGTGACTGCAGGGATTCATCTTCTTGGTTCTTTCGGTAAAGTCACGTAGAAGGGAAGTAATAAAATAATACAAATATAAAACGTAATAAAATACAATTCTCACGACGTTTCGGCCACAACGCAAGCAGCATGGCAGCCGAGTGTGGAATCGGTGCGTCCCACGCGCCACGCAGGCCGATACAGGCGTCCAACTTCAAATCAATCACAGCGGGAGGCAGCGATGACAGGATCGGAGTGCAGCTTTTATTTTCATTCATATTTAGTTTTTGTGTCCCGGTTCTTGTTGTTTTTACTTCATGGACATGTGTCAGCTGAACAAAAGCCTTATCGATTGAATATACCACGACGTTTTTGTTAATGTTTTGTAATCCAGATACACATAGGGACGTCCATCGAGGAGGTGGAGCGATGGAATCAGCCGGCCTCGGGTGGATCACTACGTCGCAAGGACCGTTAAAAGGGTGGCGGTAGCTTGCGGAGGCCTTCATCCAACAGTGGATTGACCGTGGCTGACGATGAAACACGTTCAAGAATGTCATCAGTGCACATCTTAATAGCCGCTTGAGGCTGAGCTCAACGTAGATGACGACGCACAGGTGAGAAGCGAGAAAGCCGAACCCACTCGATCAGCTTCAACCGCTTTGCACCGCGAGACCACGGCGGTCGGGAGGCCTTCATCCAGCAGTGGATATATCACTGCTGCTGCTGCTGTTTTCTCAAGCCTCTATTCAAGCGTGCGTTTGTTGCGCGAATGAGCAGAAACAGCAGACACGCAGGACTTGTCACCGCGCTGTTAGCCGTGAAGGCCTCGCAGAGTCACGATAATCTGTCTCGAGAGGGACTTGCAAGCCCAGGTCCCGAGCGAGGAAGTAATCCCTGGGCCGGAGCAGACGTCGGTACCAACCGAGACAGGACAACTTCAGTCGTGCCCATTTATTGACGCACGCCGAGACAATTCTGGTGAGTTATGTGGTTAACCATGGCGCGTGGGACGTTATGTGGTTAACCGCATAACTCGCCGTTATTTGGCCACGTACAGAAACTGGAACCGCTGAAAATCAGCCACCTCAGGTGGTACCGGCAAGTGACATACCTAGCGAGGTCTGGGCTCACAAAAAAAAAAACTTTCCTCTTGCCTGTGGCTATTTCAATTCGAATCTGCAACAGACAAAGAGAACCCATAACAGAAACACAACTTATAAACTATTTTTATTTTAGCGATTAAGGCCCACTGAGCTATTTAGCTCTTTTTAAATACTTTATATTAAGTTCACTTGCTTGCTTGCTTACTTGCTTACGACCGTGCAAATCTTTCGGTCGTGTTTTAACCCACTTCCCGTGATCCAATCGAGCTGACATTTTCCACACAGACTCGTTGTGCGTAACAATGAATGTTCGTGAAAAAAATTCCCGAAATTTTACACTTTTCAGGACAAAAATATTATATTTAATTACCAATTGCTTAATGGTGCCATGCAATCATCTGACCCATAAGTGGCAGCCATCTCAAGCCAGAGGACGAGAGGACTCTAGCCGCCACGCATATAAAGGATTTATAGTGAAAAACTTTGTTTTTACGGGTTATACTTGTTCACAAGTGACCTGGCTCCCACAAATCATAGCTTAACGAAGCGGCGGCTGATCGCCACGTGGAAATTTACAGCAGCAGCCAAATGCTTTAACACACGTGATGTTGATTCTAAAAACGTGGAGGGAAAAACCGGAGGATCCGGAGGAAAATCCACGAGCTCGCGGGGAGAGACACACAAACTCCAACTATACAGCAGGCATCGTCACGGCCGGGCCCGAATCCACGACCTCCCGTATACCAGGCGAGGTAGTTAACATCTCGCCACCGTGGCACTCATGCAGGCCGGATGCAAAGAGACTTTACTGCTGTTATGGGTTCTCTTCGTCCTGGACAAAAGGCGGTTGTCACCTGAAGCCCATGGCTAGCGGGGTCCCCTGCCTCCCACCACAGTGCAAAGGCCTCTCCATATACCGGGCTCCACCGTAGGAATCATGGCAGCAGTGAACACCGATTGACCGTGTCTCTGGGGCCTGTCTGCCAGCACAGGGACTCCTCTCCTTACGAACGAGGCAGGTTCCAGAGGTTCTGTTCGTAAGTCGATTTGTTCGTAAGTTCCAACTTTACTCCCATCGATTCCAAACACGTCGTACGGCGTGTACACTCAAACACGGGGAATGCCTTTAAAAGTTGTACGATCTCCTGTAGATGCCGCTGGTTCTTCACGTTCTGCAGACGTAGATGCCACCACCGCCATCTATTGCGCGGCGGTTGAACTTACGACTCTTGGTCCGAACGGGCAACTACGTAACTCTGAAAGTTCGTACGTTGAATGTTCGTAAGTAGAGGACTCTCTGTACTGTATCAGGTGTTAAGATGTGCACACACCAAACACCGATTGCAAGGTATCTGATCGTTGTCTTTGAAACCGATTGGCCTACGCCAGAGACGGCCTTCTTGATGGCCTAGTCTCACCAGCAGTGTTAGACCCGGTGTCTGTTTGGTGATGGAGCGTATCTTGCCACAAGCACGTGCGGTTAATGCATACCTGATGCCTTGCTGGAGTTATCTATTTGTTGTTTGGACATCTTAACACCTTCTGCTTTATTACCAGAAAGGGTTAAAGCCAATTATTGTTTTTTTCATTGTTGACTGTGCCTCTACTCATGAAGTCTTAACGGGAGGTGAAAACGGTCATCGGGTGTGTCTCCGTATCACCGCCCTCACCCCCGTTGGGACAGGCCTCACCATCTCAACTCGCCGAGTCGGTGATCTTACCGACAAAATGACCAAACATTCAGTTCTTTTCAGCTGGTGGTCTGGATAAGGCTGAGAGCTTTATGACACGAAACGCAATTTGTTTTTGTCCGTTTCACAATTTTTCGCACCTTCGATAAACAAGGAACATGAACCATCATCACGCCAACTCCGCTCATCCTTGCAGAAGCACCGGCTTTTAGCTCGGCCATCGAACAGAGACGGTGATCATCGCGTCGCGCGGCGCTTTCAGATGCGCTTGTGCGGCCGTCTGGAACGCTCTTCCTTCCGATATCAAGACGCCACCGGAGCCATCATCTCGATTGACAAACTCGCATCTTTAGAACAGTTTTGTGCGTTTGGTTTGCTGCCCTTCCCCCGACACCTCCGATTAGCGCGGTTGACTACGTACGGTGCGAAAGAAGTCCAACACACATGCGTACATACTTTGCCCCAAATGTCTTCCAAGAGTCTAGAAACCATCTTCTTCCAGCACTCTCCCCTCCGGGGCTATCAAACGTCCCCCCCGTTGAGGCCTACACAGTCCTGGTGAGTTCACGGCACGGCACGGCACGGCCTTCATCCAGCAGCGGATTGGCGTCGACGGCAGCACGTGGACATGCGTGACGATTGCATAATCATTACGTGATCGCTGCCAGAAAGAATTCGGAACGCCTGAAAGCCGAAGGGGCTTGTCGATTCACTTCATGATCGCTCAACGCACTTACCTGTTCAAAGCTTCATCGGCGTTTGATATGTCAGTCATCGTAACAGCCCAGTCGATGGCACAGTCGAGCCGTCGAGTCTGAGTCGGTGTACCTCATGGAGTTATTCTCTTAGTCCTTGTTGACTACAGCAGTCAAACATGTAATGAGAAACTTATAGTTATTTAATGATTAGGCTACGGAATTATCTTTCGTTCAGACTCGTTAATTGTCTCGTCACAGTCATTCTGTAATCTCTGGTGGGTCGCTGGTGGTGGTGGTGATGATGACAGTGATGATGGTGACGATAATGGTAGTGGTGACGATAGTGGTAATGATGATGGTGGTGATGATGGTGATGGTGGTGATAATGATGATAGCGGTGGTGGTGATAATCGCGGTGACGGTGACAATGATAGTGGTGGTGACAATGGTGGTAGTGATGATGGTGTTGGTTACGATGGTGGTGGTGGTGATGGTTAGTCGTAGTCATTGCCCACGATTCTCTTCCACCCGTTGCCACCGTTGTCACCGGAATTTAAGACAAGCTCATAATTTTCATCAACAGCGTTCACTTACTAAATTACCACTGCCGCCCCCCCCGTCACTCCCCGCTGTCACCAGGCAGCGGTCGCCGTGGTCCGGGCAGCCGAGAGCCCCGCTTGCTCTCACTGGGCCTAACCCTCGGAGAACTGGCGGTAGAGCGCGCCGAGCTCCGGGTCGGTGAAATTGGGCACAAAGTTGATGCGGACAATTTCACTGAAGCCTTCGTCCGCCGTGGGCGGCACGTACTTGTTCCTGCAAAGGGTCCGCGGGCAGCAGAGGACAAAAAAAGGAATGTCACGCGGCGCACGCGACGCTTGGGGGCGCCGTGAAGCGCTCGTCACCAAACGTACAAAAGATGTGCCCGGAAATTATTAAATTGGCGATGGTGGCGGTGTGCGGAACGGGAGGTGCGCGTGTGGCCGAGGCCTCCAGTATTAAAAGTAAGAATAGGTTGTTTGACCCTTGTCTGGCAATACAACAGGTTGTGTGTTGAGATGTTCAAACGCCAAATTGATATCCTTTGCAAGGAATCAGGTACTGCATTAACCACGCACGGTACATGTGGTGGTGAACATGGAAACAAACTTGCTCTGATTATAATGTGTGCATGGTCTTTGAAACTGATTGGCCTACACCAGACACTGGTGAGACTAAGCCCTAAAGAAGGCTGTCATTGGTGTAGGTCAATCGGTTTCAAAGACAATGCATAGATTATTAGAATAAGTTTTTGTTTGCATGTTTACCACAAGCACTGTTTGTGGTTAATGCAGATTTGATTCATTGCGAAAGGTTTCTATTTGGTGGTTTAGCCTTGTTTGTTTGTTCTAGTACGGAGTAAGACTGATGGCCTTAATCTAAGTTGTCTTGTGGTTGTTGTTGTTGTTGTTTGACTTGCATCCCACTGGGATTTTTGCACACAACGTTGGTGTACAGTGCTTTTTCTGCAATATTTTGCTGTCTTTTTTTTGATTTTCTGTTTGCACTCAGTCACATATTCACTTTAAGATGTTTTCTTGTTCATGTTTTTGTTTTTTTGTTTGTTGCGGTTGCACCCGATTGAAGAGCCGAATGGCTCACAGGGCTATACCTAATACATGAACTTGAACATCTGAACACAACTCCTGTTTTATTGACAGAGAGGCTAAAGCCAATACTTTTTACCGCCGTTTTCTTTTTGTTAATGATAAATCAACTTCGGGCTCAAGGTCGGCTCGCACTGGACCATCGTCACGAGGGCTATCGTACCCATCCCCCACCTCCTTTCGCCACAGTCAGAGCTGATGCACCCAGCAGCGGGTAGATGGTGACTGGACGATGGCAATGACGACAACGATGATCACGATGGCGATAATGATGATCACGATGATGACGACGACGACGATGATCACGATGATGACGACGATGATCATGATGACGACGACGACGATGATCATGATGATGACGACGATGATCATGATGATGACGATGATGGCGATAATGATGATCACGATGATGACGATGGCGATGATGATCATGATGATAACGACGGCGATAATGATGATCATGATGATGACGACGACGACGATGATCATAATGATGACGATGGCGATTATGATGATGATCACGATGATGACGACAACAATGATGATCACGACGATGACGACAATGATGATCACGATGACGACGACGCCGATGATGACGGCGCTTGTTATTTGTTGCGGATGCCGGCGTGCGGGGGAGACAAACCTGCTGGCGTTCATCACCATCACGTTGACCGGCACGTGCTCTTTGCCCACGGCCTCGCGGAACTGCCCGAGCCATGACGAAGGAGACACAGAGACAGCGAGAAACCACACGTTGTTATTGTTGTTGTTATTGTTGTTGTTATTGTTGTTATCGTTGTTGTTGCCCTGGTTCACCCAGCAAAGCCGTACTCGAGTCTCAAGGCTGTTTGGCAGGAGGGTCCTGCCAGGTTTTGGCAGCGGTAACGGAACGATATTGTTGCTGCTCCTGCTGCTCTGTGTGATCCCAATTAGGGAGTGGCGGTGCAGCGGTTGGCGCGTTGCGCTACGAACCCGGCGATCCGAGTTCGATTCCCTCTCACGGCCACCAACACCACTGAACCAGTTCTGGGCCTCCCCTAGGTCGACTTAGCCTCAAATGAGTACCTAGTGTAAACATCGCCAATAGGGAGACAAAGGCGGCCTGGCGAGATGCTGGCCACCCACCCCCTCGTGTGGCATGCTGGTCTCCAAAGGTGCTCGCTAACAGCACTCGCCCCAACAGTCTGTTAAGGCTACACTGTATGGTTCAGGGTGGTTTGAGCGAGCGAGTTGGAGAGTGTACGAGTGAGTGCGTGGACGACTGCGAGACTCACCCGGTTATTGTGCATCGCGTGTTCGAAGGTCGTTGTGAACAGAAAGCAACGGCAAGGGACGCCAGCCTTCCGTGCACAATCCACGTACCTACACACAGCCCCACAGAGTAATACTACCATTACACACACACACAGCCCCACAGAGTAATACTCTCACTACACAATACACGTACCTACACACAGACCCACAGAGTAATACTATCACTACACAATCCACACACAGCCCCACAGAGTAATACTATCACTACACAACACACACAAACACATAGAGTAATACTATCACTACACGATACAACAACCGCCATTCGCCACTAAGTGGCGGTGACATCACCACGACGCTTGTGCCAGGCTATGTGCACCTTGAGGCCACGTGAAGTGTCGAACGCCCGCTGGCAGGAGGTCACGGGGCAGACCCAGGTGCCACGGGTCGACTGACTGAGATGACCGAGATGACTGGCTGATTCACCACCTGTGCCCCCTACTGTACCAACTTGCTGTGCTTTAGTCACCCGGCGCTCCGCACGTTGTTGTGAGCGTCGCTCCTCCGCCCTCCGTTGTTATTGGAGGGTGACTACCTCCAACTGCCCAGTAGCGTCCTTCACGAGCCTCCTCCACAGAGGCCGATCTTGACACCGCTGGTACCAGTCATCGGCAAGTCCACTCAGCTCCACGTCCTCCTGTACCACATCACTCCATCTCTTCTCTAGCCCGTGCCGCGCCCGTTTAGCCCCCTCGATCCGGCCGAACAAAAGCTGTTTAGGCATGCGGTGGCTGGGCATGCGGGCTACATGACCCAGCCAACGCAGCCTTGCCTGCCGGAGGAGCTCACCGATGGGACTTTGTCCAGATCTTCCGAGGATTTGTGAGCTCCGCACACAATCCAGCCTGCAGGTTTAAACCCAGGATGGATCGTAGGCAGACCAGCCTAAATGTTTTTAACCGACGAAGATATTCCATTAGGAAGGGTCCACGTTTCGCGTAGAGAAGGGAGGGCATTGACCGTGGCCGAGAAGACCACACATGCTGGCGTACAAGAGACTGGACGAGGCTCTCCCAGGCAAACAAGCGCAATGATGACGATGATAATAATAATAACGACGCGCAGCAGAGAGCGGTGGTAGCAGTGGCAGCTGTAGCCGATGCCGTTGAGTGACGAGGGGGTGGGGCGCCGGCACCTTTTCCGCGCGTCCACCTCCAGGTTGGTGTTGTCCACCACGACCCCATGTCCACCACGCAGGGCCTCCTCGCACGCCGCCACACACTTCTGCCAGTTCCCCAGCGTGTCCTTGCACAGCAGGCGACAGAGAGACAAAGACGAAGATCCCCCCCGCCGCATAGCCTTAACAGACTGTCGGGGCAAGTGCTCTTCGCGAGTAGCAGCGCCTATGAAATCCGGCACGGCGCACGAGGGGGTGGGTGGCCAGCACCACGCCCGGCCGCCTTTGTCTCTCCTCAGCCGCCATGTTAACTACGCACAGCAACGGGTACTCATTTGAGGCCGAGTCGACCAAGGGGAGGCCCATCGTCATCATCATCACCACCGTACCCTGTTCACGTAGCTGTAGCCCTTGGACACCATGTGCTCTTTGAAGAACGTCGACTTCCCAGCTGCAACGACAAACACGCGCACGACTTTACCCGCACGGAGAGACAGCGACGATGGCAGCAGTGACGACGACAACGACAGGAGGCGGGCGATTATGATTCGAGGACGATGATTTGTTTGCCGCGTGATGACGATCGGCAGCGGCAGCCTCGCCACGCCGGCGCGGCGCTGGCAACGGGAAGCGAATGTGACGATCGGTGGCGGCTGTCAACACGGGATTCTGGGAGTTGCAATTCCGCTTCGTCGTCTCACCTGCGGGGAATCCCACCGCCACCACCACCTCCGGCTCCTCGTGGCAAAGCGTGGCCGTGGCCGGGAGGAACAGAGGGGAGCTGGGGCTCACCATGCGCTGGGTGAGGGGGCGGGGGACAGAGGAGGATATCAGCATTATCGTCAGCATGATCATCAGCAGCAGTAGCAGCCTTGGCAGCAGCAGCAGTATGAACAACATCGGCAGCATCTACAGCATCGGCAGCATCGGCAGCATCACTGGCTGGGAGGAACAGCTGAGAGATGGAACTCGCTGTGCGTTGGGTGAGCAGGGAGGGAGGGAGTCATCGGCATTACCAGCATCACCGGCATTAAAGGAGTTGGTGAAACATCCAGCATAGGGCCACAGAGCTTGGGCAATAATTGTTGGTTACGCCGGCTGTGGCTGCCTTCACGCTCTGTCCGTGGGTTTATCGCGCCTGCTGCTGCTGCTGCGTTACAAATCTGCGTCTTTGTTATTTTGGCGGTCGGACTCACAGGGTCGAAGTCGGGCAGGCTGTAGGGTGCCGTCTTCCATCCCAGGAAGATCTCCTCCGGAGTGTGGAACGGGAGTCCCACGTTGAGAGCAAACTTACAAAAACGACAAAGGCAGTGATGATTGTAATAGTAGTAGTCAAGGGACGAAGGCCACACGCACCCACTGCGTTGTGAAACGGTATCCAACTTTGTGTTTGTGCCGTATGGGTGCCACGGTGGCTAGGAGATGTTAACTACCTCGCCTGGTATACAGGAGGTCGTGGGTTCGACCCCGACCCTGACACCTGCTGCTGTATATTTGGAGTTTGCGTGTCTCTCTCTCCCCATGGCCGCGTGGATTTTTCTCCGGCTGCTCCGGTTTTTCCCTCCACATTTAGAATCAACGTCACGCGAGTAGTGTGTGGTAGGCTCTGGATTATCCGCGCTAAAGATGGGGAGGACGGCCATGGATCATTCAAAACAGCGGAAAATCCCAAAAAAAATCTATTTTCCATGGATCTCATTGCCAAAAACCACGAGTATAGGTATAAATTATGTTAAAGCTTCTCTGCCATCGCACAGCTTTCATAAATGAAAACTCACCTAAATTAAATGATGGGATAAATCACTCGATTGTTACACTTCAGATTTAGAACCAATACTAACGATCGACCGTCGATCGATGACGCGCGTGCTCAGCGATAGAGACACTTTCCTGCTCCCGCCCAGCAGAAGACTCGGCCCACTGAGTGGATGACAGCAGCAGAGCCACGCCAATCAAACTCCGCCCACTGTAGTAAAGATATGGCAACTACTGTACTGTAGGGGCGATCGCGTGGATTTCGGATTAACGGGAGGAACATAATTGTTCGGTATGAGCACCGTGTGATTTGTAATGAACATTTCAAAGAATAACAACATAGAACTGTTTTTATATTTTAGATTATTAATTTGGGCTTGAGAAAAATCCACGCGTTATTTGCAGAAAAATCTCCGGTGCGTGGTAAATCCGCACATCGGATAAACCGCACGCGGTATTTGGCTGCGATACATTTCCACGCGAGGAGCCACTTCGTCGAGCTATCGTTGACCACCTCGCCAGCGTGACTCGGCGACGCTTCCCTGAACAAACCGGCGCCCCCCCCCCATTGCGACGGCTCGCCACGCTACCGACGTTGGGACCGTCACGGCGTGGGGGGGGGGGGTGTGCGTCGTTGTCGTCGCGAACGCCGAGCCGGCTGCGGTGCGCCCCGTGCCGATTCCTCACCAGGCGATCGCTGCAGGAGAAGTCCTTCTTCTTCTTTCCGGGGGCCCAGTTTGCCGGGCGTCCTGCGGCATCTGCGAACACGGGACAAGGGCGGACGCATGGGGGTGGGGGCGGACGTCGCCACGGTAGCGATGCGCCAAGGACGGCCGTCGGGAAAAAACGATTTTGAACGTAACGTTTCGGATTGCTGTCCGTTCCATTTTTCAAGGACGATGTTGGATATTTTTTGTTCCCACGGTCACCGATTGTTCATGTCGTGTTAAGTTGTTTCACGCGTGGGGGGCGGGGGGCGGTTAGACGTCGCAGTGACGCGGGGTGGCGTCGACATTTTGGCGGAGTGTTCGAATGGCGGTGGACGCGCACAAACAATATAATCGGAGCAGCAAGATTATGCGCCATGGAGAAGGGCCATTGTCCGAAACATCTGACTGAAAACTTTCCCTTATAAGGCCACACTTCACAGCGGTATTGACGAATGTTGCATTTGTAGTGGGTTGACGAACGACAGAGACGGTGTGTAGTCGAGGCAGCACTATTTATAATAACTCAACAGGCTAACACTGAGAAGGGGTAAGGGCCCCTTCACCCGTACTAGACTGGGATACACCCCTAGGCTATCTGCCTAACTATTTATGCTCCCAGGTCCTCCGTTAAAGGCGCTAGGGGAGGCTACCTGACCTGGCACAGCCAAGGCGCAGGTCACGACACCCAGCCAGACAGACCAGTCCCTGAGAAGGACATCGGGTCAGAGGAGTTCCAGGATCTATCTGGCCGGTCTTCAGTCTTTACTAGCTCTTCGCTCTTCGGCTCCCCAACGCTGCCTCGAGCTCTCTGGCTCTCCGCCTTTTATACGAATTGGACACCGAGGGGCCGGGCTCTGAGGGATAAAAATTTTTCTCCGCCGGCGACGCAAGGGCCTCTCCTCTTTAAGCAAGTGACGTCACGTGATGTTCGTGGGCCGCCCGCTCGTGCGGCGGTATCGTTACCGTCGACGGCCACTACCCATGGCCGTCAACCCATAGGGTTCACCCCGTATCCTTGTACAGGGCAATTGAGTTTTCAGGTCCATACGGCGTACAGCCGTTTCAATGCGGGCAACAAAAAATGTAATGTCTATTTGTTTGTGTTTCTCCCTTGTGATGGGACTTTGTAGGATGAATGTTGAGATTTTTAAGGGGCACGGGGTGACCAATAAGGTCTGAGTTGGTCTGTAATAAGATAGGGCACTGATAAGAGGTTGACAGGTATGCACTACCAGTGGCATTAACCGGGGCGGCCGCTGAACTCGAACCGGGAAACCTCTCGCTCGCAAACAGCAACCGGCAAACGGCCGCGACCGACCGCCGGGCCGCGTTGCCGCCCCTTGGCCTTGACCCCGGCCCATGTGGGAGACACCCCCCTGCGGCGGCAAACCGCAGCGCCTCCGCACGCACTCACCTCCGACGTACAGACTCTTGCCGATGTCGACTTCGATTCCGTCGTTGGCCTACGAGGGGACGAGAGGACGGAAGAACTGCGTCGCCATTCTGCCTGCAAGGGCGCTAATGGCGACCGCGGCAACACCACGTGCCGTCGTCCGCTTCGCCGGCAGCGGACGCCACGAGTTGCCGCGACGCCGATTGAGGAAGGGAGGAGCCGGGGACATCGATTGGCTCGCCGATCACGTCACGGTCCAAAATTTTACGTATATTTAAAAACTCAACGCCGCAAATTACTCAATCGCTATCGCACGCTCTCCCGACTGCGAACACAAGGCGGGACACCTTTTGCAAAAAGGGGTCTTCGGATTCGGCGAGGAAGTCCTGGGGAATTACGTCAATGGGAAACTAAATGAAATCCGCTGCTGGATGGAGACAGCGGATGGACGGAGACGCGGACGGAATGAACGCGTTCCCACTCACTTTCTGGATCAGGTGGTGCCACATGCCCAGCATGGGCTTGCGAATCAAGCCAGGTCCACTCGCCACGAACACCTGCAAAGAGACAATGACAAAGATCCCCACCGCCCCGTGGTGTAGCCACAGACCGCTGGGGCAAGTGCTATTCACGAGCACCTATGAAGGCCGGCACGGCACACAAACGGGTGAGTGGCCAGCACCACGCCCGGCTGCCTTTGTCTTAAATTACCTGTAATTGGGAATAGGTACAGAGTAGTAATTCTCGCCCCCTACTGGCAGACTATTGGCCACCCTGCAGGCCGGTGCTGAGAGACTTTGTGCCGCACAGGGACAATTGACACTGGGAGTCCTTTTCAAATGTTTGAAATGGGATGTGACACGGAGGCATTTAAGCACCTTATGAGTGAAAATTGTATTATTTTTATGATGATAATTACAGTGATCATAGATTTGACTGATAATGCTGATGATGATTATGCTGATGATGATGCTGTTGATGCTAATGATGATGATCATGCTGATGATGCTGATGATGGTGCTGATGATGATGATGATGCTGATGATGATGCTAATGCTGTTGATGATGATGATGTTGATGATGTTGATGATGTTGATGATGTTGATGATGTTGATGATGCTAATGATGATGCTCATGCTGATGATGCTGATGATGATGCTGATGATGCTAATGATGATGCTGTTGATGCTGATGATGATGTTGATGATGCTGATGATGTTGATGATGCAAGCATCACCTGAACTGGCAGACCCAGAGTGACTATAATTGACTCCACCTTGGCCTGAAACTCATCAGCTCTCAGTTTCCCGCGAGCAATTCCCATCTGATTGGTGAAGAACACCACCTGACACACACACACACACACAGGCAGACAACAACCACAATTCATCACTGAGTGGCGGTGATGTCACGACGGAGATTGCGACAAGCTAGGTTAGGCTGAGTGTTACAGGGCATAGTAGTAGGTTTTTACCCTTTCAACTGGTACAAAAACTGACACCTTTATACAAGGCATCATGTTTGCAATAACCACAATACAAGCAGTCAAAATGCAAACAAAAGAAACAACTCTGATGATGGTAATGATATGCACTGTCCTTCTGGCGTCATCTGGTCCAACACCAATGGAGACTAGGCTCTAAGAAAAGCTGTCTCGGGTGTGGACCAATCAACTTCAAGGACAGTGCATATCATTACCATCATCAGAGTTGTTTCTTTTTGTTTGCATTTTGACTGCTTGTGTTGTGGTTATTGCAAACATGATGCCTTATATAAAGGTGTCAGTTTTTGTACCAGTTGAAAGGGTAAAAACCTACTACTATATTTTGCCACTGGTAAAGGAGATGTCTCATAGTGTTACAGGGCACTTTGATGGCATTGCGTGAAGTGGAAGGCTTGATGCTGAAAGGTCACGGGACAGACCCAGGTGCCATGGGTTGACCAACTGAGATGGCTGGCAGATGCACCAGCTGCCCCCCCTACCGTGCTAATGTGCTGCGTTTTAGTCGCCCACCGCTCCGCTCACTGTTGCGAGCGTCGCTCCTCCACTGCTGGAGGGCGACCGCCTAATTCTGTGCCTCTACGTCATGAAGCATGCTCGAATTATCAATCTCCACGACCCGCACGGTGTCGGGAGGGCCTCATCCAGCAGTGGATTGACAATGGGGCTGTAGGTGCAAACGTATTTGCGACGTGCATCTTTCAATATCAAGTTTCAAGGTCTATGACCCCCCCCATCCCCCAAGGTCTATGACCTTGAAACTCTGTGGGTCACCACCACCGCCCAGTCTACGAGAACACATCCGCTCCTCCGATGAGCACGGTCGGCTACGTACGGTGCGAAAGAAGTTCAACATACGTACACGGTGATTTTGTTAGGTGAGAATACGTGAGACCAGGAATGGGAGTCTCATTTGCAAGAGTGACGTGGGGCATTAAAATGAGCCACGGTTGGGAAATAATTGCCTGCCGTGTGTATCATCCCGACATAGTCACGGTGTCATTTTGGAATTCGGCACAAAATTGGACCCCCTCCCGCCCTCCGCCGACACGCCGAACATGGCGGCACGCCGGACATGGCAACACGCTGGACACGCCGACATGCGGACACGCCGAAATGCCGGACAAGGTGACATGCTGACATGCCGGACGTGGTGAAACGCCGACACGCCGGACACGCCAGACACGCCAACACGAACGATGGTGGCCTTGCCACGGCAAAAGACGTCCGGGGGTCATATTTTTTATGTTCACTGCCGCGGTACTTAACACGGTCGTGACACATCGCGATAACGATCGGGGCGGGCCGCTCAATTCGAAACAAGGTGGGGGTGGGGGGTAGGAGGTGGGGTGGAGGGGATGGGCTACCGATGGCCACGTGCCGCCCCCTTGAGCCTGTACCTTGTAGCCGTCTTCCAAGAGGTGTTTGAGCTTCTTGGGCACCTCGGGGTACAAGATCCTGCACACACACGCACGCGCACACGCACGTAAGACGCACGCAGACATTCACACGTACAACAAACAACACAAATATTCCCCGTAGAGCCACACAGACTTGGGGGAGTCAAGTGGAGTTTGGGGAGCACTGATTAAGTGTGGCCAGCAGCAGAATAATAATTTCCCATAGGGGTCCCATTGTCTTGATTAACGAGACATTTTCGATTAATGATTCATTTTCGATTAACGATACGTTTGTGATATCACGCGGACCGGCCAATTTCGGCCGTAGAACCCTTAAGTGGACTCGGCAGACTTCAGCAACTCACTCTTTTATGAGCGCTTGGAGAGCAACTGGCCGCTAGCTTTCAACGTTTGATGTGCGTTGCTTAAGGAAACAGTTCTCTTGAATACTTTTGCTTAAAAGTGAAGTAAGATCATTAACGCTTTAACAAGTTCTTATAACGTGTATTTATTATAATTGCGTGTTTAAATATTGCAAGCTATGCTTTTAGGGTGGAAAATATCAACTTCCCATTGTCTAGGTTCAAATTAAGCACTTTCACGCGTATCTCCTATATTCGATTAATGATAATTTCAATTGACAATGTTTGTCGTGCAACCAATTAATATCGTTAACCGAGGGCCCACTCTAACATACGTACAACTCACTACATTTGAGCACCCGGTTTCATCACACGTGGCTGAAATCCGGTGACCATGGTGATGAAGGATAACATCAACTCTGGAGGGGTAACCTTCCGAAAAGAAATACAATTTTTTTGACAAAGCGTCACGATGATATTTCTCACTTCCAGTCATCAGGTCCGGTTGCGAAAACGCGTCCGGATTTGGTGGTGATGATGGTTGAATCAATGTCGAAGCCGGCAACCTGAGCACAGAGGGAATCCACAATAAGCCACAAACGTAATCTCACGTGATGAGCTGTTTGTTGTGTAGAGACATTTGTGACTGGCCTGAGGCCATCAACTCGCTACACTGGAGAAGCCAGTTTAATCACAACTCGGCCTAAGTGATCGGTGAGTCTCTATGCGAGTGTATGGATCTCTCTGTGGGTCTGTGGGTCTCAATGCGAGTCTGTGGGTCTCTCTGTGGATCTCTCCGTGGGTCTCAATGTGAGTCTATGGGTCTATCTGAGTCTCTGGGTTTTTCTGTGGATCTATGAGCGTCAATGCGAGTCTGTGGGTCTCTCTGTGAGGCTATGGGTCTCTATGTACATCTATGGGTCTCTCTGGGTCTGTGGGTGTCTCTGTGGGTGTATGGGTCTCTATGTGAGTCTCTGTGTCTCTCTGTGGGCCTCTCTGCGGGTCTCAAAGAGAGTCTATGGGTCACTTTGTGAGTCTATGGGTCTCTCAGTGGATCTCTCTGTGGGTGTATGGGTCTCTACATAAGTAATTGGTGGCAGGGCTGACCCCATCAATCACACCTCTCGCTGTGTGAATCGGTAAGGCTCTATGTGTGAGTCTACAGGTCTCTTTGTAAGCATGCAAGCCTCCACATAAGGTCGTGGTGATCAGGCTCAGGTCAACTCACTCTACTGGAGAACCCAGTTTAATCGTAACTCATTCTGTACGAGTCTACGAGTCTCTGAGTCTACAGGTCCCTCCGGGGTTCTATGGCTTTCTGTAAACACCAGCCTCTACACACAAGTGAATGATGACTGGGCTGAGATCGTCGACAGGTTTACCCTCGAGAACCCGGTTTAATCGCGGGCGGGCAACTGATGTGTGCATTTGACCCCGGGGTTCGTAGCGGCGATGGATCGCATCAGTGTCTCCAACGCGGCCGTAATGAATCGCCGCTCACCTTAGCTGACGCACGGACCCCCTTTGCGGTGAAGAGCAGGAGGTTTCCCTCCTTCTCCCAGCGGTCGCGAGTGCATGCGGACGGAGAGCCAAGTGCGGAATCCGCTGCATTCACCAACACGTTACACGAACGTGCACGCTTATGAACACAAAGATACAAATCCCCCGTGTAGCCTTAACAGACTGTTGGGGCAAGTGCTGTTAGCGAGCGGCACCTATGAAGGCCGGCACGGCACACGAGGGGGTGGGTGGCCAACACCACGCCCGGCCGCCTTCGTCTCCCTAGTGGCGATGATTACACACCGCACCAGGTACTCATTTGAGGCTGAGTCGACCCAGGGGATGCCCAGAACCGGTTCAGATAATAGTCACCGCTGTTGGCCACGAGCGGGAATTGAACTCGGGTCGCAGGGTTCATAGCGCAGCGTAGCGCTAACCGATACACTACCGCTCTCCATAAACACACACACAAACTTATAACAACACACACCCAAAACAAGTCACCTTTACTTTGATTAAACACGTAAAAACTCAAGAGACCAGGAAAAATAAATATTATCTTATTGGTGACCCCGTGCCCCTGAAAAATCTCAACGTTCATCTTAGAAAGTCCCATCACAAGGGAGAAACACAAACAAATAAACAAAACTAAATATTGCCCGTATTGAAACGGCTGTACGCTGTATGGACCTGAAAACAAAACTTCCCTGCACAAGGATACGGGGTGAACCAAATGGGTTGACAGCTGTGCACTAACAACACAACGGGCACCTTAGCTACAGCCACTGTTGATCCAAACCGGAAGTAACGGCACTCAGCGGTGTGCCATGTGACCACCGCGTTGCGTGCGCAATGCTCTCAGCCTTGTATCGACCACCGATTCAACAGAACTGAAAGCGTGGCAGCCCCTTCCGCACACACCGTTTCGACCTTTTATTTGTAGTCGGGCCACACTTTCAACCTCTGTTCTGGACAAAAGCAGAGGGCATCGCACGCGCAAAGTGGCGTTAGCGCAGCGTGCACAAGAGGCGTATACGGGGAGCCGTGCCTTGCTCCTGTGCCGAGTGGGAGGCAGCACGCAAGCTCCCTTGGGTGCTGTCGTTCAGAATTCCTTTCCAGCAACGCATGACGCATTCTCCCCTGTCCGTCAGTTGTCTACTCCCTTAGCGCGAGAGACGGTCAGACGCGAGCCGATGCCAAACAACACGCGCTTATTCAAATGATTTTGTAGCACGAGATAAGCCACTTCGTTGAGCTGTCATTTGTGGTAGCCAAGTCGCTTCTGAAAAAGAAGCTAATAACTCAGTGGGGCCTTACACCCTGGTAAGATTACATTTTTCCGATACTTTGCCCTCCTATCGTGTTGCTGCGTTGTGTTTGTTGTTGTAGCGTTCTAACCCCGTGCCTCTACCGAACATCTGTAGTATAAAATAAATATTCTGATTCTGAGCTACACTTCTTCCGGGACGATGACGGATTTCCCACCTCTCCCGCCGGGTAGCGCCACAGCGTTTGACGATGATGACGACGATGACGACGACGACGCCGTTGCTGCCGTCATCGTCGCCGTGACCTTTGAACCCTGAGCGATCTCATGGAGGCTCCTCAACTTCTCCGCCACCTCCTCTTCGTCCTCCTGCTCCTCCTCCTCGCCCCCCGAGTCGCGCTCGCTCCGTTCCTCGTTGCCGTCCAACGACTCCTCCACGCGCGTCCTCTTCGCGTCGCCAGATTTCGGGTCGTCAGACGACCGCTTGGGCGCCTTGCTCGGGAAGAAGTCCTGCGCCGCACGCGGCAGGCAGGCAATCGGCCGATACGTTTGCGTCAAATTTATAAAACATGTGGCCACGGTGAATTTGGCACCAGTGAAATGAGATTTGCAATTGCGACGCTTTCAGACACGCTTCTGCGGCCATCTGGAACGCTCTTCGTTCCGATATTAGGAAGCCACTGGCGCACTTTTAAATCATCTAGTTTGAAAATGCATTGCATGTACGTATGCTTTTAAAGCAGAATTTAGGCATGTATGGAGGCTTTTAAAGAATAATGTATGCATGCATGTATGTATGCCTTTTCAGCAGAATGTATGCATGTATGGAGGCTTTTAAAGAATAATGTATGCATGTATGTATGTATGCCTTTTAAGCAGAATGTATGCATGTATGTATGCTGAACTTATGTCGCGCCGTACGTAGCCAACCGTGCCAATCGGAGGATGGACGCAGTGTCCGGGCGGAAAGGTGGTCATGACGAGTGCGGGTTTTATTCTAAGGCTCACACCTTAATGGTTTTGCGCGGGGACTCAGATCGGCCGCCAGGCTTGGAGGCCGAGTGAGAGGAGGCGGTTTTCTGGCCGCCGCCGCCGCCACCACCGCCGCCGCTCCCGCCAAACATCACGCTGTAGGGGTATCGCTCGTTCACCATGAGCACGACGCCACCGTCCGCGAGCCGCACAGACTCGCCCACTTGGAGCTCCGTGCCGCTCACCCACGTGGGGTTGACCCCCAGCTGCGGGTGCAGAGAGAGAGGAAGAGAGAGAGGAAGAGAGAGAGAGACGTCGCCCGTCTCCTCCGTCGCGTAGAATAACAAAATAGAAATCGGGCAAGGCGATTATCGTGGAGTTCAACTCGAACGGTATATCACAGCACCGCTTTAATGACGGCAATGTTACCGTTTTACCGATGCAGCTGCTAATGCTGCTGATGATGATAATGATGATGAAGCTGCTGTTATTGTTCCCGCTGACAGTGATGATCATGATGGCAAATAACTTTGCAGCAATCCGGGTCTCACCCTTTTCACCATCACAGTCTTGGAACCGTAGTCAGCAATAAGCTCCACTGCACACAAACAACAACAAAAAAACACAGCCATCGATCGGAAATCCGCGCTAATGACGGGGAGGAAGACAGCTGCGCATAATTCAAAATCGCAGATAATACAAAAAATATATACATTTTCCGCAGATCTCTATGCCAAAAAACACTAATATTGGTATAAATTACATATTTTAATTCACGTATAATATCCAGTTTCTGATTGAAAGTTAAAACGACAAGCTTAAATTTCTCTCTGGCATCGCACGGTTTTCGTAAATTAAAACCCTCAAAATAAACGATCGGATAAATCACTCAAAATGAAGCACAACTGACAATTTCGATTTAGAACCAATACTAACGATCGGCCGATCGATGATGCGCAGAAGACTCGGCCCACTGAGTGGATGCCAGCAGCAGAGCCACGCCTATAAACGTCAATCAAACTCCACTCACTGTTGTAATGATATGGCAACTACTGTACTGTGGAGGCAATCACATGGATTTCGGATTAACCGGAGCAACATTTTTGTTCGGTTTAAGCATGTGACTTGTGATGAACACTTCCAACAATAACAATGTAGAACTGTTTTTAGATGATAAATTTGGGCTTAAGGGAAAATCCACAGCCATTAATTTACGTAAAAATCTGAGGGACGCGATCAGATTAATCGCACGTGGGTAATCGAGAGTCTACTGTATGCAAAATATTTGTATTCCACATCCTCCCTCGCATCGTACATTGCAAAAATTCTGACGTTCTGACGTTCCGTGCGGTACTTCCAGGGGGCAATCGACGGTGACCAGGGATACCGGACGGGTTACAGCAGGCGGGGTAGTAACCGTTCATTTTTAAAACACTCACCCTGTTGGCGTGCGCATTTTCGGTCGATGATTTTCGTGTTTGTTCCCCTGCCCAGGAGAATCGATTTCCCGTCGGGGAGGGATACGGGAGTGTGCCTGCCCTCCTTACTCACAAATAAGCACTCCATTGCTGTGGAAGAAACACAAAGATCCCCCACCGCGTAGCCTTAACAGACTGATGGGGCAAGTGCTGTTAGCGAGTAGCATCTATGAAGGCCGGAACTGTGGCACACGAGGGGGTGGGTAGCCAGCACCACGCCCGGCCGCCTTTGTCTTCCCAGTGGCGATGTTTACACACCGCACAGGTACTCATTGGAGGCTGAGTCTACCTAGGGGAGGAGGCTCAGCACCGGTTCAGATAATCGTCACTGGTGTTGGCCGTGAGCAGGAATCGAACCCGGGTCACACACACACACACGACTCCCAGGCAGGGCCTTCCAAATGTCTGCAGAGTCGAAAACATCAATGATGATCATCAATGATGAGTTTGCATAGCCAGCAAAGAGCAAATATTCCACATAATTGCAGATGCATCCATCCCACTCACCCCCTTCACTCACCTACCCTACTCCACCCACCCCCTTTACTCACCCCCTTCACTTATCCATTCACTCACCCCTTCACTCACCTACCCCACTCACCCCCTTCACTCACCCACCCCCTTCACTCACCCACCCACTCACCCCCTTCACTTACCCATTCACTCACCCATTCACTCACCCACCCACTCACCCCGTCACTCACCCCTTCACTCACCCATTCACTCACAACTTCACGAGGCATGAGGACTCCCTCTAGGTCCATCCAGACTGAAATTATCAAAATTTCGACCGTAACATTAACGCAACAGGTAAACCTTTAACCTTTTCACTTAATGTCAAATAAAAATAAAACTCTGTTAGATACATGCCTCAACATTAAGGCATGTATTTAACTGCTCTGCAAATACAAATATCTCCCCCTCATATTGCTTTGAACAGACTTATTTCTGAAAGTATATGTACAGTACAGTACTTGTATGATGAACTTCTTTCGCACCGTACATAGCCAACCGTGGTAATCGGAGGTGCAGTGTTAGTCTATGGGCAGTGTTGAGTCTATGGGTAGTGTTGGTCTATGGGTAGTGTTGGTCTATGGGTAGTGTTAGTCTATGGGTAGTGTTAGTCTATGGGTAGTGTTAGTCTATGGGTAGTGTTGGTCTATGGGTAGTGTTGAGTCTATGGGTAGTGTTGAGTCTATGGGTAGTGTTGAGTCTATGGGTAGTGTTGGTCTATGGGTAGTGTTGGTCTATGGGTAGTGTTAGTCTATGGGTAGTGTTAGTCTATGGGTAGTGTTAGTCTATGGGTAGTGTTGGTCTATGGGTAGTGTTGAGTCTATGGGTAGTGTTGAGTCTATGGGTAGTGTTGAGTCTATGGGTAGTGTTAGTCTATGGGTAGTGTTAGTCTATGGGTAGTGTTAGTCTATGGGTAGTGTTGGTCTATGGGTAGTGTTGAGTCTATGGGTAGTGTTGAGTCTATGGGTAGTGTTGAGTCTATGGGTAGTGTTGAGTCTATGGGTAGTGTTGGTCTATGGGTAGTGTTGGTCTATGGGTAGTGTTGAGTCTATGGGTAGTGTTGAGTCTATGGGTAGTGTTGAGTCTATGGGTAGTGTTGAGTCTATGGGTAGTGTTGGTCTATGGGTAGTGTTGAGTCTATGGGTAGTGTTAGTCTATGGGTAGTGTTAGTCTATGGGTAGTGTTAGTCTATGGGTAGTGTTGGTCTATGGGTAGTGTTGAGTCTATGGGTAGTGTTGAGTCTATGGGTAGTGTTGAGTCTATGGGTAGTGTTAGTCTATGGGTAGTGTTAGTCTATGGGTAGTGTTAGTCTATGGGTAGTGTTGGTCTATGGGTAGTGTTGAGTCTATGGGTAGTGTTGAGTCTATGGGTAGTGTTGAGTCTATGGGTAGTGTTGGTCTATGGGTAGTGTTGGTCTATGGGTAGTGTTGAGTCTATGGGTAGTGTTGAGTCTATGGGTAGTGTTGAGTCTATGGGTAGTGTTGAGTCTATGGGTAGTGTTGAGTCTATGGGTAGTGTTGAGTCTATGGGCAGTGTTGAGTCTATGGGTAGTGTTGAGTCTATGGGTAGTGTTGAGTCTATGGGTAGTGTTGAGTCTATGGGTAGTGTTGAGTCTATGGGTAGTGTTGAGTCTATGGGTAGTGTTAGTCTATGGGTAGTGTTAGTCTATGGGTAGTGTTAGTCTATGGGTAGTGTTGGTCTATGGGTAGTGTTAGTCTATGGGTAGTGTTAGTCTATGGGTAGTGTTGGTCTATGGGTAGTGTTAGTCTATGGGTAGTGTTAGTCTATGGGTAGTGTTGAGTCTATGGGTAGTGTTGAGTCTATGGGTAGTGTTGAGTCTATGGGTAGTGTTGAGTCTATGAGTAGTGTTAGTCTATGGGTAGTGTTAGTCTATGGGTAGTGTTAGTCTATGGGTAGTGTTAGTCTATGGGTAGTGTTGAGTCTATGGGTAGTGTTGAGTCTATGGGTAGTGTTGAGTCTATGGGTAGTGTTGAGTCTATGAGTAGTGTTAGTCTATGGGTAGTGTTAGTCTATGGGCAGTGTTAGTCTATGGGTAGTGTTAGTCTATGGGTAGTGTTAGTCTATGGGTAGTGTTGAGTCTATGGGTAGTGTTGAGTCTATGGGTAGTGTTGAGTCTATGGGTAGTGTTAGTCTATGGGTAGTGTTAGTCTATGGGTAGTGTTGAGTCTATGGGTAGTGTTAGTCTATGGGTAGTGTTGAGTCTATGGGTAGTGTTGAGTCTATGGGTAGTGTTGAGTCTATGGGTAGTGTTGAGTCTATGGGCAGTGTTGAGTCTATGGGCAGTGTTGAGTCTATGGGCAGTGTTGAGTCTATGGGTAGTGTTGAGTCTATGGGTAGTGTTAGTCTATGGGTAGTGTTGAGTATATGGGTAGTGTTAGTCTATGGGTAGTGTTGAGTCTATGGGTAGTGTTGAGTCTATGGGTAGTGTTGAGTCTATGGGCAGTGTTGAGTCTATGGGTAGTGTTGAGTCTATGGGTAGTGTTGAGTCTATGGGTAGTGTTAGTCTATGGGCAGTGTTGAGTCTATGGGTAGTGTTGAGTCTATGGGTAGTGTTGAGTCTATGGGTAGTGTTGAGTCTATGGGTAGTGTTGAGTCTATGGGTAGTGTTGAGTCTATGGGTAGTGTTGAGTCTATGGGTAGTGTTGAGTCTATGGGTAGTGTTGAGTCTATGGGTAGTGTTGAGTCTATGGGTAGTGTTGAGTCTATGGGTAGTGTTGAGTCTATGGGTAGTGTTGAGTCTATGGGTAGTGTTGAGTCTATGGGTAGTGTTAGTCTATGGGTAGTGTTAGTCTATGGGTAGTGTTGAGTCTATGGGTAGTGTTGAGTCTATGGGTAGTGTTGAGTCTATGGGTAGTGTTGAGTCTATGGGTAGTGTTGAGTCTATGGGTAGTGTTGAGTCTATGGGTAGTGTTGAGTCTATGGGTAGTGTTGAGTCTATGGGTAGTGTTGAGTCTATGGGTAGTGTTCGTCTCTGCAGTAGGTATGTTGAACTTCTTTCGCTCCATACGTAGCCAACCGCGCTAATCGGAGGTGCGGGGGAGGAACAAACCAGACAAAAAAGCACTTCTGAAGCAATGAGTTTTCAATATTTTTGTGCGCACTAGCTCAAGTGGCATCCCAAAATCGTAAGAGCTGTGAGCGAGCACAGATTCAAGGCCGGCATGGCGCTCGGGACTGGGTGGTTTTATACACCGCGGCAAGTTCGTATTTAAGGCCGAGCCGACCGAGGCGGAGGCCTTGCAAACAGTCGCTAGCACACGGACAACAACCATCATCAACCACCACCACCATCATCACCCCCCATCATCATCACCCCCATAATCATCAACCACCGTCATCATCACCCCCATCACCATCAACCACCGTCATCATCACCCCCATCACCATCATCATCACCACCGTCATCATCATAACAATCATCACCCCCATCATCATCATAACCATCATCATCGCCCCCATCATCATAACCATCATCATCATCATCATCACCCCCATCATCATCATCACCCCCATCATCACCCCCATCATCATCAACCACCACCATCATCACCACCGTCATTATCACCACCACCATCATCACCCCCACCATCATCATTATAACCATCATCGCCCCCATAATCATCAACCACCACCATCATCACCACCGTCATCATCATCATAACAATAATCACCCCCATCATCATCATAACCATCATCATCGCCCCCATCACCATCATCATCACCACCGTCATCATCATCATAACAATAATCACCCCCATCATCATCATAACCATCATCATCGCCCCCATCATCATAACCATCATCATGATCACCACCATCATCATCATCACCCCCATCATCATCACCCCCATCATCATCACCCCCATCATCATCACCCCCATCATCATCACCCCCATCATCACCACCACCATCATCATCACCCCCATCATCACCACCACCATCATCATCATCACCCCCATCATCATCACCCCCATCATCATCACCCCCATCATCATCACCCCCATCATCACCACCACCATCATCATCACCCCCATCATCACCACCACCATCATCATCACCCCCATCATCATCACCCCCATCATCATCACCCCCATCATCACCACCACCATCATCATCACCCCCATCATCACCACCACCATCATCACCACCCCCATCATCATCACCCCCATCATCACCCCCATCATCATCACCCCCATCATCATCACCCCCATCATCACCACCACCATCATCACCCCCATCATCATCATAACCATCATCATCATAACCATCATCATCATAACCATCATCATCACCCCCATCATCATCACCCCCATCATCTACATAACCATCATCATCACCCCCCATCATCATAACCATCATCATTACCCCCATCATCATCAACCCCATGATCATCACCACCACCATCATCACCCCCCATCATCATCATAACCATCATCATCACCCCCATCATCATCACCCCCATCATCATCATCATCACCCCCATCATCATCACCCCCATCATCATCACCACCATCATCATCACCACCATCATCAACATAACCATCATCATCACCCCCATCATCATCAACCCCATGATCATCACCACTATCATCACCCCCATCATCATCATAACCATCATCATCAGCCCCATAATCATAACCCCCATCATCATCACCACCACCACCACCATCATCATCACCCCCATCATCATCACCACCATCATCACCCCCATCATCATCAACCCCATGATCATCACCACCATCATCACCCCCATCATCATCACCACCACCATCATCACCCCCATCATCATCACCACCATCATCATCACCCCCATCATCATCACCACCATCATCATCACCACCATCATCAACATAACCATCATCATCACCCCCATCATCATCAACCCCATGATCATCACCACTATCATCACCCCCATCATCATCATAACCATCATCATCAGCCCCATAATCATAACCCCCATCATCATCACCACCACCACCACCATCATCATCACCCCCATCATCATCACCACCATCATCACCCCCATCATCTACATAACCATCATCATCACCCCCATCATCATCAACCCCATGATCATCACCACCATCATCACCCCCATCATCATCACCACCACCATCATCACCCCCATCATCATCACCACCACCCCCACCATCATCACCCCCATCATCATCACCAGCATCATCACCACCACCCCCATCATCACCACCCCACCACCATCACCACCCCACCATCACCACCCCACCACCATCATCACCCCCATCATCATCACCCCCATCATCATCACCCCCATCATCATCACCACCACCCCCACCATCACCATCCCACCATCATCATCACCACCATCACCACCACCGTCACTCACATCACACGGGAACGGACATCTCACCGCGATTCAAAGTTGACCGATTCCAACTTGCAGGCCAGCGGGCGAACGGCTCAAAAGCGCGCACTTGAATGCCGCTAAATTATATTAAAATCGCTATTATAACGACAACAGAACAACAATAAACAACAAATCAACAACAACAATCAACAACAGAGCTCGCTCCACACCAAGCGTCAATCCTCCTCGATTCAACCTCCCCCTACACTCTGCGCTCAGACACGAGAGAGGACGGAGACCCTTGGAGACGCAAGATGCCCTCGGGGCGCAGCTTTCAACGGCGCCGCGGTCACCCCTCTCCCCCCAGCGCATCAAAGGGGCCCCAGGGGCATTTTACTTATTGACAAGTTGCATCGTCGCAGCGCGCCTCGCAATGGGAAAGGCGATGACGCGGAGGACAGATTCCGTACAACGTATAAGCACGGGGGCATTGTTTACACTGGATTTCATAGACCGTATTAGTAACGGCATTAACCAGAATCTGAATATTCTTTGGGTCCATCTTCTTGGTTCTTTCGGTAAAGTCACGTAGATGGGAAGTAATAAAGTCATAAAAATAAAACATAATAAAATATTATATATAATAAAATATATAATAAAATATTATGTTTTATTTTCATTATTGTTTTTTTATTTTTATTATTGTTTTATTGTTATTATTTTATAATAATAAAACATAATAAAAATAAAACATAATAAAATATTATAAAAATAAAACATAATAAAATATTATGTTTAATTTTTATTATTTTATTACTTCCCTTCTACGTGACTTTACCGAAAGAACCAAGAAGATGAATCCCTGCAGTCACGAAAGCTTTAAATCGAAATTCTTTGGGTCTTTAGGTAAATCTACGGATATAGAAAAAAATTACAAAAATCAAAATCACGACGTTTCGATCGCAACAGAAGCAATCGTCTTCAGGCGAAAAAGACGAAAATCTGCCCCCCAACAACCTCGCATTCATCATAGACAGATAGAGAAAGTTGTTTAGATACAAATATCATTTTACATCTGGAAGACTTCATTGAAGACGACATTTCGTGTGAATTTTCTCTCGTCGTTGAGTAGATGGCCTTGCTTGGGGCTCTGTTAGATGCCCACTTCCACCCGTTTGGGATTGCGGGGTCGAGATAAGGCGACACGGAGCTGCTGGTCGTGCCAGAAGACCGCCGCTGTCTGCTGATCGATACCAACGTGATCGATACCAACGTGATCGATGATCGTCTGCCCCTGTGCCCCTCCGTCGTCCATGCAGGGGACACGTGGAGGTTTGCAGCGCCCCCTGCGTGAAAACGACGGAAGGCGTTCATCATATTCATCCACAGATACAAGTTGGGCGTTTTATATTAATAATAATACTACTGGTAGGAACCTCCTGGTTACACCAGCCCACAGGGGATTATTGTGTCCGTCCGTCCGTCGTGCATCCAAAAATGGGAGGGGTGGGGCTGGGTGGAGAGGGGAGGGTGGGGAGGGGCTGGGTGGGGAGGGTCTGGCTGGGTGGGGAGGGTGGGGAGGGGCTGGGTGGGGAGGGTGGGGCTGGGTGGGAGGTGGGAGGGGTGGGGCTGGGTGGGGAGGGAGGGGCTGGGTGGGGAGGGTGGGGCTGGGTGGGAAGGGTGGGGGTGGGGCTGGGTGGAGAGGGGAGGGTGGGTGGGTGTGGGAGGGGCTGGGTGGGGAGGGGCTGGGTGGAGAGGGGTGGGGCTGGGTGGGGAGGGGCTGGTCACCCCGTGGTGCCCTTATAAAACTCAACGTTTCACCTACTCACGCCGGCTTGTGCCCGCCCTCACAGTCGGGCATATTTGCGGAATACACCACGCCGCCGTTGACCCTGCAGGCCATTGACCGAGCAAGCCGACGTTCCTACCAGCTCCCTCCGCAGGAATGTGTTTATATTAAATTCCCTTTTAGTGACGTCATCGCTCTATTTAAAGGGAGGTTGATGAAGAGTCGGGAGGTTGATAATCGCGCGGTGGCGTCACGACGTTTAGCAAACAACGCGAGGGCAGCCATGACGTCATCGGGTAATTATTACGTTAGTGACGCAATCGCCTTGCGTTCAGGTAAGGTCGGGGGAGTTGACAATCGCAATGACGTCACCGCGCCGTCGCGTTGCCGGAGGGGGGGTGTGAAAAACGTCACTGCGTCGTGAGCGTGGTGACGTCATCATGCCGGGGCGGCCGACGACGCGGTGACGTCACCGCGCAGGGGCAAGCCGACGACGCGGTGATGTCACCGCGCAGGGGCAAGCCGACGACGCGGTGACGTCACCGCGCAGGGGCAAGCCGACGACGCGGTGACGTCACCGCGCAGGGGCAAGCCGACGACGCGGTGACGTCACCGCGCAGGGGCAAGCCGACGACGCGGTGACGTCACCGCGCAGGGGCAAGCCGACGACGCGGTGACGTCATCACGTCGCCCGCGGTTGAACCTGCAAGAGCGGAGTGGTAGCGAGGATGGCGGCGGCCCCGGAGCTCGACTTCGTGGTGCGCAAGGCGCACGGCCTCGCGGGCCGCGACCCGTGGGCGGCCAAGGCGTGGCTACTCACGGCGAGAACCATCTACCCCGGGGACTTCGCCATTCAGGTAAACGGGGGGACAGCGAGCGAGCGAGAGAGAGAGCGCTCAGGGGAGGGGCAGGCCTTGCCGCAGTGTTGACACGCAGGCCTCCATTCATTCATTCACTCGCTCGCTCGCTCTGTCGTTCACGACTTCACTCATTCGTGCAGTCAGAGCGAAGTCGCTCATTGGGCCGTGTTCGTCCTGTTGGTGGAGGAGAGTTGCGGCGGGTGTTGTGTGCACGGTGCGCTTGGCCTGGTTCGTGTTTGTTGATGTTTGAGTGATTTGTTTACATTTCTTGTACGCTGCTGCACCGCTGTTACATGTTTGTGTTGTTTGTTGTTGTAACGTTCTGGACCACGTGCCCCCTACTGGACTTCTGTGAGGGAAAAAAGAGCTGTATTGTTCATCGGATTCCTCGTGCAGTGTAAATAAATAAATATTCTGACTCCAGTCCATTACCCGGGCACACCACATCCAGTATCCCACCGTGGGCTCTGCCACGTGGTCACGTGCCACCACCTCCAGGTTCGCAGCGATACATTGACATATTTAGTGAGGAAAATAAGCCTCGGTTAGTAACCTACTTGCTGTACTGCTGTACTGTGTCCTTACCACCCTCCACCACGCTCCCCACCCCCCACCTCTAGTTTGAAATGTATCTTCTGGAGAAGAATGCTCAGCGAGCGACGGACGCGGCGCGGCTGCTGTGCGAGATGTGAGTACGATGGCTGGGAGATGTTGACTACCTCGCCTGGTGCACAGGAGGTCGTGGGTCACATCCTGACTGACGCCTGCTGCTCTATAATGTCTCATCATCATCACGGTGGCTAGGAGATGTTGACTACCTCGCCTGGTGCACAGGAGGTCGTGGGTCACATCCTGACTGACGCCTGCTGCTCTATAATGTCTCATCATCATCACGGTGGCTGGGAGATGTTGACTACCTCGCCTGGTGCACAGGAGGTCGTGGGTCACATCCTGACTCTGACGCCTGCTGCTCTATAATGTCTCTCTCATCATCATCATCACGGTGGCTAGGAGATGTTGACTACCTCGCCTGGTGCACAGGAGGTCGTGGGTCACATCCTGACCCTGACGCCTGCTGCTCTATAATGTCTCTGTCATCATCATCATCATCACGGTGGCTAGGAGATGTTGACTACCTCGCCTGGTGCACAGGAGGTCGTGGGTTACATCCTGACCCTGACGCCTGCTGCTCTATAATGTCTCATCATCATCACGGTGGCTGGGAGATGTTGACTACCTCGCCTGGTGCACAGGAGGTCGTGGGTCACATCCTGACCCTGACGCCTGCTGCTCTATAATGTCTCTGTCATCATCATCATCACGGTGGCTAGGAGATGTTGGCTAACTCGCCTGGTGCACAGGAGGTCGTGGGTCACATCCTGACTGACGCCTGCTGCTCTATAATGTCTCATCATCATCACGGTGGCTAGGAGATGTTGACTACCTCGCCTGGTGCACATGAGGTCGTGGGTCACATCCTGACCCTGACGCCTGCTGCTCTATAATGTCTCTGTCATCATCATCATCACGGTGGCTAGGAGATGTTGACTACCTCGCCTGGTGCACAGGAGGTCGTGGGTTACATCCTGACTCTGACGCCTGCTGCTGTATATTTGGAGTTTGCGTGTCTCTTTCTCATCATCATCATGGTGGCTGGGAGATGTTAACTACCTGGCCTGGTATGCAGGAAGTCGATGCCTGCTGTATATTTGTAGTTTGTATGATCTCTCCCCGTGCAGAGTGTGAGTGAGTTTGTGGGGTTTAGGGTCGCAGTAGTGTAGCGGTTAGCGCGCTGCTCTACGAACCGGGCGACACGAGTTGTGATGATTATCTAAACCAGTCCTGGGTCTCCCCTGGGTCGACTCGGCCTCAAATGAGTACCTGGTGGAGTGTGTAAACATCGCCACGAGAGACAAAGGCGGCCGGGCGTGGTGCTGGCCACCCATCCCCTCGTGTGCCGTGCCGGCCTTCTTAGGTGCTCGCTAAACAGCACTTGACCCCACAGACTTTATAAGGCTATCCGGTGCATCTTTGTCTTTGCAGGTTTGTGCAGTTCCCAGAAAAGCCTCCGCTGTGGAGAGAAATCAACTGCATCACCTCCGCTCTGCGTGCAGAAAATCCCGACGCTCAGACACAGTTCTTGCGCTGTGGGTTCACGCACTGCCCGACACGCACGCACAGCCACTCAGCACACCGCTGCATCAACACAGGCAGCAGCAGCAGCTCCTGGGAGTCATCGTTCACAGATTCCACCGTTGTTTGGAATCAGCGTGGACGGTTCCCAGGGGCGGACTATGCAGCAGTGGGCACTGGTGCCTCTGCCGTGCTGATGAGTCCTAAGTAAGGGTGAAAGCGGGCCGCAGTTTGTCTATCGCTGCGTCGCTGTCGGGTCCACAGGTGCTCGCATTTATTTTTGATCATGACCTTCGAAGAGACGACCACAATGCAGTTCTTCAGGAGCTGTTGATGATCTCGTGTAGAATGCACAAAGGCCGAGTGCTTTTCACACGCTGTGTGCGTTGTGTGCAATAGCAACAACAGCAGCAGTCGCAGCAGCAACATAATTAGCGGGACCAGTAGCAATATTATCAGAATCGTAAGCAGCAGCAGTGATAGCAGCGGCAGTATGAG